AGCTGATCCGTGCTGGTCGCTGAGGAAATACATCAACTTCGTGCTGTGGATCGCCGGATCGGCTTTCACCGTGGACGAAGCAGAGTCCAGTCCGGGGTCGTCACATGTGGTTGCCGCAAGCCCACCAGATGCTCCTTCGTCGAATCCGCCGGCCGTGCCGTTCTCAAGCCCATCGGCCTTCGCTCACTCATGCCGCCATGTGTGACGCTGTGTGACGCATTTTATGGAGGACTGTTTCCTGAACCTGCAGAGTAGCATACCATGGGTCTGTGCTCAAAGGCTGTTCTATAAGTGGGGCAGTTCCAACTTTGCAAGGACAGTCTGGCGCTTCTGACTCACAGACTGCAAGTACATTTTTTATATTTAAAGAATTTGCCACTGATGATTCAAACTCGAGTAGCACTTGTTGTTTGTCGTTTCTCCGATCACAAATGCAGACATGGTTTTATGTTTACGCGTAAAAACACAGTATAAGTAATTATAATCAGTAATTATGTCCCCACTGGATGCAACAAATGCCTCGTTTGTAATGGGTTTTATTGGTTTTGTCTCGCTGTGCTGGGAGACGGCATCAGAGTGTGTTAAGGGGCATAACGTTTCCGTCACACGTTTTCAGCCAATCACAACGCACTGGATTACAGTATGTGGAAAATTATGTGTTTTTTGAACCTTAAACAGCATAAACACATTTCATTACACCAAATACACAAAATAATGTTCTTTTTAGTAACATCATATGACCCCTAAAACAAATATTAACAAATTCTGATGCAATAAATATGGTATAATTTAACAGTGTTCATCCCTCCAAAACAGAGAAAAGATATTTCACAAACATATACATTTCTGTCTCTTAAGTGTTAGTGTATATAATGAGTTGTATTTGTAGGGGTTAAAAAACAGGAAGGGGGCAAAAACCTTTTCACACCACTGTATACTGTATATATAATAATATAGGGTCTCAGGAGGTTAGGCTACATTTAGGCAACATTTCGTCATTTAGCAGACATTTATATCCAAATCCACTTTTATACAAATGAGGATATTAATAAACAACTGATAAAATTATAAAGGCGGGGCATAGAGGAGAAACAATAATGTACAGTATGTGGAAAATTATGTGTTTTTTGAACCTTAAACAGCATAAACACATTTCATTACACCAAATACACAAAATAATGTTCTTTTTAGTAACATCATATGACCCCTAAAACAAATATTAACAAATTCTGATGCAATAAATATGGTATAATTTAACAGTGTTCATCCCTCCAAAACAGAGAAAAGATATTTCACAAACATATACATTTCTGTCTCTTAAGTGTTAGTGTATATAATGAGTTGTATTTGTAGGGGTTATTATAGCACAATTCCCCCCACCCCAGACCTCACTAATTTTCAAATCGTGGCTATGGTCATGAGTTTAGTGCTCATAAAAATTCAACATAGGCTATAACATTTGGCCACAGTAAATTAGGCTATGAGCAACCAAACAGATCAAAGCTATAAGGGACAGTTCCTCATTTTGTTTGCAACAGACATCGCAAAATGTTCTATTCTTTGACCACATACTGTACATCACAAATGCTCTGCAAAAGTGTTCAAATCGAATGCAGAACAGACACTGATCTGCCATCCAGGAAATGGTGAACTAATGTTCATTTGGTCATCAGACTGATGGATGATGGCTAAAGTTACTCTGCAAACAATATACTTTTTATTGACTTAGTGCAGAAATTGTGTTATCATACACATAAAAAGAGACATGATGCTGCTGCTGCTGATGAGATTATGATTAGGTCTAAATATGGAGTAATTATAATAGTAAATAATTAGTTCCACATTCCAGAATGACTCTGTTCTTGAGTCACGTGCAGTAATATAGTTGAATAGTTTAGAGAAGAACAGTCTTCTTTAGGTGGATCATCCAAACTATACACTACCATTGTACAGACATCGTCCACAGCCTGACAGAGAGCAAAATATAGAATGACAGTTCATACACAGTAAAGATTCAACACTGAGTTCAGAAAACGTTCAAAGCTAACAACTCAAATATACTCAAGCATGCATTGATGATCATTTTTGTATTCTTTTTTACTTGAAAATTTTTCAGATAAATTTGTTTGGTGCAAAATGTTCTTGCTGGCACACAGAAAGGTTTCCATACCTGGTTGAAGTCTGGTGGATCTTGAGCTGTATCTTCAGTGGTGTGAGGTTTCAAAGCGTGAATAATATAAATAATGTTAATAGATTTCATTTATCATTAAAAGGTTAGAATGAATTATAAAAAATAAAGACCTGAGGAATATGAGACTTGACTGAAGATGATTCGGAAGCATCATGCTAGTTTAAACCTCAGTACATTGATGTTTATGATCTTACATTTGGACTTTGCATCTGATCTTCTGCTGTAGATACACACTAAAGCCACAATGATCCAGAAAACCAGGAATAACAAAACACCTGCACAAACCACAGTCACATTGACTGGAAGAAAAAATAAGTACAAGCACAATAAATAAAAATAAATAACCAATTACTGTTATTGTAAGAATTCTAATACAGAAACATAAACAAACAAATGGGTATAAAAAAAGAAGAGTCATCAGAGGAGCTGTTGACTGGAGGAGTGGAACCTGGTGAATGGACTGTTGATGGTAGTTCATCTGAGTGAGAATTATCTGGGAGAGACAGAATCACAGTATTACTTGTAAACAGAGTAAAATTTATTATTATTATTCAAGAAAAAAACGTTACTTTTTTCAACTGATCAAAACGATTAAAATAATAAAGATTATGAATTACAAACTGAACTGTAAATAAGTTAAGGGGGAATGTCTTTTCTCTATTTTGCTAAATGGATGAACTT